ACAGACCTTGACTCCACTGTCCTCAAGGTCCTGCTTTTATTATTAGACTTAGCTCACTGTTTGGCTACTATGTTTGAAATCCAATGTTTGAAATCGAAATGTCAGCTCCACCTCAGCTTCGTTATTACACAAACTAGGTGGAAATCTGCTGATCAGAACTCCCATGTACTTCTACCAGGCTAGGATTTCAGCTGGCTGTCTCTTTGAAACACATCTTTCGGTACTGGATCCTTGCCACACGCACTGCTGGGGAGGTCAGTCCCTGGGAAAGGTCACTGGCAGCTTCCAACCCACCTATTTTATTGTTTCTCGTGTTTCTGAAATCTTCTGGCAACACACTGGAATAAAAAGATAACCTTTGGTCTTCAACCAAAGTAATGAAACATTGACCCAAAGTGTATCACTGGATTTTCATGAGGACACCGTACGCAGCACAATACCACATCAGAGCAACATATAAATGCAAGTTTAAATATTAAAGAATGCAACATTTATTTGAAGATGTATTTCACAATCTGCCATTGTAAATATACAGGGGCACACTGCCAGCAGTGGGACCAGACGGATGCCCACCATGCCTGTCAGTCCCCCTGCAGACTGCGTGCAGCACACAGCCCACCTCCCCTCCCTCTGAGCTCTCACACAGTTGTGTAGTGGGAGCTGTGCTGTGTGCCAGGGTGAGTGGCGGAATTTTGCTACATTCCACTTAGCTTTGTAGCCAAGAAGGTTTAGAAAGATCTGGGTCAGGTTCAAAGGAAAACCACTTTAGCAGTCAAAGCACTCGTGTTTTTTCAGACTGTGCTTGTGAAAACAAGGCATAATATGCAGCCAGGAGAAGCTCTCACCCTGTCCTCAGCAGAACTCATGGACCCTGCAAAGGGCACAGCTCCTTCTCGTCCTGCAATCTGTCCTGCTCGGACACAATGGCTCTGACCCACAAAGTGTACAAAAGAACTGAAAGAGAGCAGAAGAAGGGAATGCAGAGACCCAGTGCTCTCTCCTGTACTACCAATATTTTACCAGGTCTCTCTGTGCCTGTTACTATACCTTTCTGAGATTTTTTCCTGTTGGTAAAAATGAAGCTGGTGTTACAAACTTCCTCACCAGTCCTTCGACTGGGCAGTCATGCATTTGCATTAGCCTAGTATTGTCATCTTGGATGTTATGTTTGCATACCTGGATCCTATGGCCCAATCTACTTCTGGCCTGACCTCTTTGGTCCTATTCCCTTTTATCAAGGATAATCACAAGCATCTGCTATCCACAGTCTGCAGCTTTTGCAGATTATGCAGCTTCTGAGTGTTGGCCTATTTTATTTTGTCAGTATGAAGACAGAGGCTGTGTTTACCACCCAAGTTGCCGTAATGCCCTCTGAGATATTTGTAGGCAAATCTCTGTATCTCATGTTTTTGTACTCTGCCAGGCACAGGAACAAAGAGGGAAAAGCAAATTCCAGGAAGAAAGGGCAAAAACTTAGTTTGCCTGCCATAGAAGATCTGTATCTTAACCTTATCATGATACAAATAAATAAATAATAAACTTCAGGTGCTTTGTAGGATGACCCTGCATTATAACTGGGCAATTCAAAATAGCTCAGAAAAAAGGGGGCCAAGACAGTGCTAGATGAGGCTGGTGGTCTGGAGGGTATTAAACAAGTGAGGATATATGCATTGGAATCCCAGTTTTGCAGGTCAGGGCCAGCTCTTATTTTGTAGGTGAAGTCCAGCTCATGGGGAAAAAAAAAAAAAAGCAAGGGACTTGAGAGAGTGCTGTGATAGCTGGCTGAGTCAAAGACAAAACATCTATTTATCCAGAAGGGCAAATTATTTTTCCCCTGGGGGAAATACAAGGTAATTCTGTCGGTAACACCAGAATTAACTGCAGATTCACTGGTTTGCATGGAGTGACCATCTTCCCCTGTATAAGCTGAGGGCTGCAATAGCGAAGAGAGCAGTAAGCCGTGTGACAAAGGTAAGTGCCTGCCAGAAGGTAATAATAGCAGGGAAAAGGAGATTTTCAGAATTTAGGTCCATGGGTAACTGGTTCCACATACATTTAACAAAAAGGCTTTTCGATCCTAAGTTGTACTCTTTTCTGAGTAGCCCATATTATCATACTTTGCCTTTCCTATTTGCTTGCTTGCCATGTTATGTTAGTTGTTAAAAAGACCTTGCTTCTAAGGCTTTCTGGGCCCACTGTGCTGCTGCCCAAAATGCCGATACTCTTGCCTCTTTCTGAAATGTCAAGATGCATCTTTTCTCCTCTGGGATAGAAATAATTTCTGAAAAACAGACATTTAAATACTCAGCTAAAAGGAACACTTTCATCATATCAACCAAATCTTCTATTCTTATTTTTATCTTCATTTTGCATATTGTATTTTTGTATGCAGCAGCCATAGGCATAGCCCCAAAATATCAAAAGGAGGTAGCGGTAGTTAAAGACAGTATTGTGACCATTACTTAACAGCAGTTTACATTTTATTTTCATGGAAACCCAGTAGTAGTGAAGGAATCTTTTAGATCATTTTTGAAGGATTGTTCCAAACAATTTATGTTCTAGTGTCCTGGCCGGACAGCCTTTGAAGTTCATCCAGCTTTTTAAAGTTAAATGAAAGAGCTAGGTAAGACAAACAAGAAAGTAATTTGTATCACCTTGTTTTAGTCATCTGAAAAGCCATCACACCAAAAAGCAAGACACACAGACCCTGCCCAAGCCCTGCCATCTAATTCTGCAGTGAAATAGTTTAGGAGATTGGATAAAATTTCACTTAAAGACCTTTACAGAATATCTGAAAATAATTTGATGAGCTGCTGAACCATGGTGTTTATCATTTTGTCTGTCTTGAATTTGTTTGCGCTCACTGCCATAGATTCGTATCAGAAATTTGCCACTGGAACAAGCGTCTGAGACACATTACATGGGTTACACTGGTGACACCCTGCCAGTTGTGTCATTGTCTTTCATTTCATAAACTACAGATGTGTAACTGAGCAAGATCTAACTTTAACGCAGCAAGGATTACAGCAAATGACAACACAAATTCCATATACAGTATGCTACAATAAAAAGAAACAATTAAAATAATGGACTATTGGACTATTTCTAAAACTGAAGTGGCTCTTTCTTTGTAGAAATATTGTAACAGTGTTTGGTGGATTGACCCTGGCTGGATGCCATGTGCCCTTCAAAGCTGCTCTATCCTTCCTCTCCTCAGCTGCACAGGGGAGAGAAAATGTAAGGAAGACTCCTGGCTTGAGATAAGGACAGGTAAAACAGACTCCACATGGGGAAATTAACTGAATTTGATGCCAATCAGATCACAGTAAGGGCAATGAGAAACCAAATCAAAAAACACCTTCTCCCCACCCCACACTTCTTCCCAGGCTTAACTCCTGATTCCTCCTCCCCTCCAGCAGTGCAGGGGGACGGGGAATGGGGGTTGTGATCTATTCATCACAAGCTGTCTCTGCCACTCCTTCTTCATCAGGGGGAGGGCTCCTCATGCTTCTCCTGCTCCAGCGTGGAGTCCCTCCCACGGGAGACAGTCCTCCACAAACTTCCCCAATGTCAGTCCTTCTCACGGGCTGCAGTTCTTCACGAACCCTCCCCCGGGGTGCAAATGAATGGCTCTGAATGCTTTTCACTGTGGAAACACACTGTCGTATCTCAGGTAGTTACATTCAGTCTCAGGGTGGAACTTCAGGATGGATCATTAGTTTCTTGTCCTCCTCCCCAGTATGCCCCTTTGAAACTGCTAGTCGGAGACTTTCCGACAGGACCTTTAATTTGAGACGCACTACAGAAGTGTCAGATTACACAGCAACTCCCTGCCAGAAGATACTCCTCTTCCTCACTGCCTGCAGGAACAGTTTCAAGCCCAGTAACTTGCTGTTGTTGTCAGTTGTTGTTTAAACACAGCCAGCAGCCAAGCACCACACAGCCGCTTGCTCACTCCCCCACCAGTGGGATTGGGAAGAAAATCAGAAAGGTAAAAGCTGGAAAACTCGTGGGTTGAGATAAAGACAGTTAATAGAGAAAGTAAAAGCAAAGCAAACACAGAATTAATTCACTGCTTCCCATGGGCAGGCAGGTGTTCAGCCATCTCCAGGAAAGTAGGGCCTCATCACATATAACAGTTACTTGCAAAGAACAAATGCCATCACTCCAAACATCCCCCCCCCTTCCTCCTTCTTTCTGCCACTTTTATAGACTGAGCATGATGTCATATGGTACAGAATATCCCTTTGGTCAGTTTGTGTCACATGTCATGGACCCCCAACTTTCTTGCCAGTGTGGCAATATGAAGAGAAGGCCTTGGCTCTATGTAAGCACTGCTCAGCAATAATAAAACCTACTCTATATTATCAACCCTGTGTTCAGCATAAATCCGAAACACAGCTCCATACTAGCCAATGTGAAGAAAATGAACTCTTCCTCAGCCAAACCAGCACATCAGGGTTGACAGACCAAGAAAATAATGTCTGAAAGCAAGAGGTGCCCTCTAACCCACGAACTTTCCTATCAAGTTGACACACAGTAGTGGTGCAAAACCACCAGCTATGTCCTGGGCTGCATCAAAAGGAGCGTGGCCAGCAGGTTGAGGGAGGGGATTCTGCCCCTCTGCTCTGGTGAGACCCCACCTGGAGTACTGCACCCAGTTCTGGGGCTCCCAGCAAAGGAATGTTGTGGACCTGTTGGAACAAGTCCAGAGGAGGGACACAAAAATGATCAGAGGGTTGGAGCATCTGTTAAATGAGGACAGACTGAGAGAGTTGGAACTGTTCAGTCTGGAGAAGATTCCAGAGAGAACTTATAGCACCTTCCAGTACCTCAGGGGTCTTACAAGAGAGCTGGAGAGGGAATTTTTGCAAGAGCATGTTGTGACAGAACAAGGGGAATGGCTTCAAAATGAAAGAGGGGAGGCTTAGATTTTATATTAGGAAGAAATTCTTTTTGTGAAGGTGATGAAACACTGGAACAGAGAAACTGTGGATGCTCCATCCCTGCAAGTTTTCAAGGCCAGGTTGAATGAGACTGAGTGACTTGTATGTTGTGTATGGCATCCTGTGGCAGGGGGAGTTGAAACTAGTCAGTCCTTAAGGTCCCTTCCAACCCAAGCCATTCTATGATTCTATGAAAATCCAGCAGCCTGCAGATAAATGGAGACTGAGTTTCCAGTGTTGTCAGTCTGGCACCTTTTCTGAGCTCCAAATTCTCCTGAAAATGTAAATGGAGATGGTAAGGAGAAGAGCTAAATGCAAAACTGGTATCTTTTCTTCCCATCAAAATAAAAAAATTAAATCCTTTTTAGTAGGAACTTCCACTCAAGAATAATTTCAGCTATGAAAGACAAGTACATTGTTACTAATGGAATATTTTTTTTAATCAGGAAAGAAAGCTGGCAAATAAATTCTAGGATAATATAAAACCATTTAATTAAAATATAGCATTCCATATAAATTTGTTGTGTTTTTTTTTTTTTCCTTATGCTTGGAATGCTTCCAGCCAAAGATCTGGCAAGTTATAAATAAACAGATCAAGGTATTGCAAACACAGGCACAGAATGATCTCTACAGCTGCTGCAAGGACTGCCTGCTCAAAGTTGGAATTATGAGATTTTAATGCATCATCTGACCTTGATTGTTGAAAGAATGAAATTAAGCAAAAAGTCAAGATACAGTTTTTGTGCTTAAAATAATTAATAATTTATAGGAATAACATGCAATGTGTGATAGTATACTATCACAAGAAGCAGCATGGTGAGAGGATATGAGTTCTTACCTGATTGCACTCATTTTGATGGTGCTTTTTGTCTGGATAAGGATAGCAAAACATCTGCTCTGCAGTTCTTGGCTGAGATGAAGCAATATTCCTTTCTACTTCTCCCTGCCAAGGAGGGGTTTTCCCAATGTTCACACAGGATCAGACCTTCGCTAGGCCTACTGAGGAACCTTAGCCATTACAATCTACATGAAAAAAGGTGTGAAAAAGGAAACTTCATTATTCCCATTCTAGAGAGAAAGGAACAAAAGCACAGAAGATGCAGAGCATGAGGAATTAAATATCAGCCTGCCGAGTCCCAGCCCATTGCTGAAATATCTGCCCAGTGTTTCTCCCTGCAAAAACTCTGGCTGTTACTCTCAATTTCAGGATTCCAAAACTAAACTCTGCCAAAACTTTTGTGGAGTGTCTGCGTGCATGCCATTGAGCAGAGAGAAGAGAAAGGGTACAAAAAAAGAGAGTACAACACAGAGCAGGAACTCTGAATAAAATGCTGATATAATACTGTCACTGCTATCAATAGTATAGAGTTACAGTATCAGCATTGTGCATTATCTTTTCTTTTGTGATAAGGCGATTGTAGGAGGATATATCAACAAGTGCTGCTGAGCACTGAGATCAAGGACTTGTAGACTCATTGTAACTGCAACATTCACTGAAGGCCATCTCAAAACTGGGCCATTGATAAGCTCTCTCTTCTACCTGGAGTGTTTTGTTACCTGATAAGAGACAGGAGGTTCTTCCTGTGGTCTTGCTTATGTCTTCATGTGGCTGCTTTACAGAGCTGGTAGGAACTGTGTTACTTCTGTTTTTCACTTCTCCCTTGGCTTAGCTAAAATCCATCAGTGGCTTACAACATAGAGTGGAAGAAATGGGACAGGCAAGAGGGGGACTGGTAGGCAGGCAGACAAAAAACGTGAGCTTGTACTTACGATTTCCTTCAGAGAAGAAGCTAAGGTTGTCTGCATTTGTTCCCTAACATTTGACATCTTGCAGGTGAAGATTTAAAATTATTCACATGGAAATTGCATCTAGGCATGGCGTGGCATATTTTCACATGGCCCATTTTTTCTCTCTTTAACATCTCACTCAAAAATAGTGGTGCTAAATGGCATTAAGGAGAAAAACCTTACCCAGACAAGTTGCTTGGCTGCTAAAAATCCATTCTACCTGCACACTACCTCTGATCATTCATCATGAACTGAAACGCACATAAATCAGGGAAAAACATGCTTTTCTTTCCTTCCTTCCTTCTCACACTTTCTTTCTTTTTTCATTAGAAAATATGAGGATGAAAAGTATTAAAGGCAAAAATCTTTATTGCTTAGGATTATTCATAGCTTCTCCAGAAAATTATTATTAAACTAACTTACCTTGCTAAGTTTTCTCTTTTAAGGAAGGATCATTTGTACAGACCACTTGCAATGTGATTTCCAGCACTGAAAGCGCTTTCCCATGTGGATATAAAGCTGTAGAGAAAGGAACACAAACAAAACCTGGAAGTCCAGGGAATTTCCCTGTACTTAATGTTCAGAAAACATAGTTGTGGCCTATCATGCAATCCAGTTTTATTAAATTCCACTGATTAGGAATAAAAGAGAATTGAAAAAACATGGGTGAATAGCAAAAGCAGTGTCCTGTGAGAGTTAAAAGGAAGGACCTGCTCCACATGATGATATTCTGACTTTAAGGACTAAGCATCCATTTTATTTCAGCTGCTCCATATTTTGTTCTTACACAGTTTGATTGCAAATTCTCATTTTTATTTTTTTTTTAGTTCTCCTAAGCTGCCATGAGTTCAATAGCATACTTAGAGGGATTATGACTCCCTTATCCTTCCCATGAAAAAGGATGAGCCTCTGAGCAAAAGTAGGTATCATGTTTCCTTCCCACTGTGCTTGCTCCTGTCATTGGCTATTTAATTCAAATTTAATTTATTTAAGGGATTTAGGAGCTTGGCTTTCTAGACCCTGCTTAAATAAAATTCAATTAAACTCACATTCTGATTAATATCTAAATTAAAAGTGAGGACGACTCACCTTTTCCTCCTCTAGAAAACCCAAAAATGCAAGTTATGTTTTTGCCTTGAGCTGAATCCTTTCACTGTCTTCCTGATGTGCCTGGTAGGCGATCCAGTCCAGACTGACCCTCAAACATCTCTGTGGCTTTAGATTGAGAGATTTTTCAGGTCCTGAACACCCTTTCCCATAGAGCCATGCTACTCTGGGGAGCAGAGGGAGAGTTTTGACACGTGAGCATCCTCTCTTGAACATCTCTGCTGCTGATTTGGGAGTGCAAATAGAACATTTCAGCCTTGGGTATCCCTCCTTCATCAGGAAAAATAAACATCTTCAGTGGCTTCCTACTCTGAAAGTATCTGCTGCAGCAAAGCCAGTGCCTCAAAGAACTTCATATACCACCCATTTCTATCCTGGCATCACTGGACCTAGTTTACCTTTGCACATCAGCAGATTACAGAGGAGTTTTTTAGAGCCTCTGATCAGTAATCAGCCACTTGTAATCACTAAGCAGCTGATTTTAAGCTACTAGAGACAGGATGTGTGCTTTAGCTTATGACAGTGTTTTGACTAGTTGTTAATTAGGTTGACTGGCCACCAAAAATATAAAACACAGGGTTCTTTTAGAGGGTTTATATTTTCATGGAGAGGTTTAGTTAGAAAGAGGAAAGGAAATACCCCCTTCCTCCTCTTAATTTGGAATCTGCGGAAACTCCTAATTTTGGGGAAGGTATAAAAAGCAGGTAATTCTTTTTTGAAAAAGTCTCACATTTATTTGATCACCTCTAATTCTACTTCATTCAAGACAACACCTGCCTCCAAGTCACTGCACAAATATTAACTTTCCACTATTTTTAGAATAGAATGTAGAATTGTGGGAGACATTTTACCCACCACCCAGAATGGATAACTCTTAAACAGATTTCTGTCCCTCCTTAAGAGCCTTTTGCAAGTTTTATAGGAATTTTGCCCTAACTCCTCACATTTTTCTTAATACTATTATTGCTAAGGAAAAGGAAAGAATACAATCATAGTAATGGTAATAATAATAAAAGTAATAATAATTAATAAAAAATATTATGTCTGATATATTTCAGTCTATAAACCCAGATTCCAGCTTTCTCTTTTTATTTTCACTCATTTGTTGGTCTGACTTTTCTTCTACTTTTTTCCTCTTTCATCTCCCTTTCCTAGCATTTTCTTGCCTCTTTCCACTTTGGCCTTGTAAGTCACATACTGGTAATTTAGTTGCTGTTCCTGATCTTTGTTTCTCACACTATAAAGAACAACTCTTTGGTTTCTCTGGAACCTACTAAAGACCACCGTTCATCTCACATGCAAAGATGAATAAAAACTTTGATGATAACAAAGTCTGAGTTAATATCTTTTTGGATCTGTTGGTTTCCAGCAGATTTCCCCAACTGGATAAGTGTGTTCATTTCAATAACCATTAATCACAGACTTATAATTCTTTGTTGCACAGAACCACTACCCAGTTGAATATGCAGAAAGAGCACTGAATTATGCAGGAGTATTGAAAAAGAAAAGGAAAGACAAAACCCCTATAAATATACAAAAATACTAAAAAGCATTTTGATGCACACAGAACTATTGTTTCTAGGTTTGTTGGAGGTTGGTGGGACTTTGGGAAGAAGATATTGAACCAAATGACAGAGATACACTTTAAAGTATCTTGAAAAGAAGAATCTGTTGCTTTCAGAATACAACAGACTTAATTTAATACTTGGTTGAACTGATAGCATCTTGTGCTGGTTTAAAAGTAAACCAGCAGGAGAAATGAACCCAATTCAATAGAGATTACAAGTCGGAGTTACAATTTACTAAAAAGATTACAATAAATATAATGATATAGAGAAAACTGGTTTTAACCCACAAAACCAGATGTATAACCCAGAACCCTGGGACAAGAATAGAACAGTGTTCATTGGCCCCTGTGCTGAGCACCACATGGTCCCCCTGGGTGCAAAGTAAAAGGATTGGTCCAGATGATGGTCGCAGTTCTGTCGAAGTAATGATCTCAGTCTTGTCAAGAGTGGCAGTCGCAGTCCTGCTGAAGTTCTAATCCTCCTCTGGACTCACCAAGTGGTACCAGAAGTCCCAAACCTGCAGGATTATATATGCTTAAATTCAAGTGGGAATGCCCAGTACCTCCCCCAGGGCAGAGAGTTTCACAATGGGTGACTTAACTCTGTGAGTCATGGGATATTTTTGGAATCTTTGATGGTCTAGGTCATTGCAGCTGCCTATTATGCCAGTCCAGTGTGGCCCATTAGCAGAGATGACCCCTCAGGCCGAGTGTGAAGGTGCTAATGTCTCCCTGGGGGGGAGTTGTCACAGCTATCATTGGTGTGAAGACAAAGAAACACTCCCCTGCCTCAAAGGGTTTCTTTAACACCCAGCTTGTAGCCTGAGGTGTCAGGTGTGCCCTGAGCAGCTGCTGCAAATGATTCATTTATTAACAGTCCCTCAGAAATTACACAGAGGGTGTAGAATACACAACTTTGGTTATACCCACATAGTGATAAACTAGTCCCAGCCCCTGTAACTAGGACATGTCTGAAAGTTAATCTCTGAAGTTTCCTTCTCATACAGCTGTGACTCTTGCAAAATGTCACAAACGCTCATGAGAAAAATAACAAAGCCTGATACCTCTTCCATATTCTTCCATATTGTTTTGTTAAGGTTTGGAGTTATTGTTTTTGTCTGCTATATTGTGTGAGGCCTGTGTAGGCAAAATTGTTCTTGAAAGTGGGTCAGCCTAGAATGCAGTCTGTGTCTAGGTCTTCCTCAGTCTCCTCTCATTTACTTTGTATGAATTACAAGGAAGAAAAAAGACCTATTTGTCTAACATCCTCAAGAAAAATCCTCTTCATGAATATCAGCTGTAGGAAGGCTATGTCAGATCCAAAAAGATTTTCCCAACAGAAATCAATGAAATATGTTTATTTCCAACAAAGGCAAATATTTTTAAAAATTCACACTTTACAGTGAACAGCTGTTTCATTGGAAAATTCCTGATCAGCTGTAGCATATGGAAAGATAAGGTCGTCGTGACTTGGTGTTGTCATCTCGTGTTCCTTGGAGGATTAATATGGATCAGTAATAACTGCAGCTGCAGAGCAATTAATAATTGAAAAGGTGCTAATGAGTGCATTGATGAAGTCAGCAGAGTCAGAAATTTCTTACCCATAATATTTCTTCCTCTTCTTGATCCTTTTTGCCTCATATGCTGAGCAAAGAATTGAATTTTTTTGGCTTGTAAGGCCTGACCATCCTTTATAAATGGAATTCTATTTGATGATACCATGACTGGAAGTAGGTCCCTGGCCATTAAAATCCTGCCTGAGTTTCCCCAGTTTTTCTGCCATCTCTGCTTTGCCTTTGAAGTTCCATGTAGTTCATTAACTTAGGGACCTGAGACCATCTTTATTCTGTACATTACTTTACCCGTCAAATATGTAGGCCAACAAAGAGGGGTGGGTGACTACACATGCTGTGTACATGTCTCTCTTCATTCTTCAGGATGAGCAATCCTACCTGTTAGGCCCATTACAGTGCTTGCATGGCCTTTAGTAAGATCCAACAGGAACAGAGAAAAATCTTAACCTCTAGGTTCATCTGCCATCTTCATCTTTGATGTAAAATCAGCTTGAACCGTAATCCAGGAAATCCTTGCTAGATGCTCAGGCTGATGCTCTTAATGGTCTTGCTCTGCTGAAGGCTCTGGGCTAGATGCTGTCTTAATGAAATGACTGTACTGCACAGGGGAGCTCCTACCTCTCAGATCAACTCCACAGAGAACAGAGAAAACCTGCACTAGGTGTCACCTGTTGTTGGTTAAGTGCAGGATAAGGAATGATAGGTCAAAGGAGGAGCAAGAACAAGTAGGTAGTCTGATTTTCCCAGCTGCCTCATCCTTTCCCTTGGCAAAACCCTTCCAAAATTACATACTTCCTACGCAAAATGTCTTTGGGGCTTTACTAGACATACTTTAAATTAGAATATGCCTTGTTGTTTGTTTTTCACAAATTTACATTTCATTTATGCCACCTGCAAAATGCCGCCTGTGCCTGACAGGGATTATTCTGAATGCAAAGCACAGATTAAATGAAAAGTCTAGAGCCCTGGAAAGTGTTCTAAAAGTATGCCATAATTATGAAGTTAAGAAAAGTATACACAGCCCGCAAATCTAAAATTTTGCCATAAAATTACAGAGAGGCCATTAGTAGCCACCTGCCCACCTGAGTAACTTCTAAAGCAAACCAGGCTCCCATGGAAAGGAGGAGAGAACAGAAAGAGAAGTAGTGTCAAGCTGCAGTTTGCAGGGCTCCAAGCAGAAATTTCTATTGCCAGCAGGAATAAACCAATTTGTCAAAATAAGAAATGATAGTACAGAATGATGTCTCTCTGTTCTCAGGAACACTGGAACAGAGTAGTAAGTGCTCTGTCCTACCCATGAGGGCTAATGCATCAAAACAGCAAATGTGAGAGAGAACTGGGAAGGACCACTCCAAGTGACCCACTTAATGGCTGCATATTCCCAGCAAACATGATTAATGCAGATGAGGCAGACAAAGTACACATGCTTACACTAAAGAAGAAAAGAACTTCAATTACGCTGTTCCAGGGCAATAATCCCATTAAACAAAAGCTGCACAGTAACAGCATGAAAAATCAAAGCAAGGAGCAATTCTAGGTATGGCTGAAAGATGCCGAGCTGTTCAGTTCAGAATCTATGCAGAAATGCTCCTAACGACTGGAGCAAGATGTGTAACTCTTTCATTTGCTGATGCATGCCCTGCCTGCTGCTTAATCCTGGAGGATTTTTAATCCTTTTCCAATGGCTATGCAGGATTTTCAAAACTTGCTTTTTCCACGTATTTCCTGGAGTGTACAGACACTTGTCCCAGTACTTCAACCAATCTTGACAACATCCTTCTAAGCCCAAAGCAACAAGTGAACATTTTACAGACTATAAGCCAGCTTCATTATTTTTATTGCTGAGTAATACATGAAGAAGTTTAGGCCCACAATCACCTATCACTGCATCTGCTTCATTTTTTTTTCCAGAACACTATGACCACAAAAAAAAGCACCAGCCAAAAAACCTCCAACCTCCCCCCTCCAGCAAAACCACAGTGATAAGTTAGCTAATGAGAGTAAAGAACACATTTATACACATAGACAATGCTAATAGTCAATTAGTTGCAGGCAGTGAATTAAAATTCAAGAGGCCACGCACATTTTTATTTCCTTCGAAGCTGATCTCCCATCTTAGCTTTGTCAAAGGTGTCTTTTATTAAGATACCAAAGTTCAAACAGACAATAGTTATTGCTTTTTATTTGAAAAACTATACATCTTTCGTTATAGAACCCTCAGGGCCCTGGAGCTGCACTTCGCTGTACCTGCTTTCCCAGCCCCAGCTAGCAGGTGTTTTCAGTTCCTTGATAGGAATACAGAAACAAATCCCTATAAGTGCTAGTGAGACCTTAAATAAGAATTATCAACCACAGTTATTGACTACAGGAACCAAAGGCTAAAATTGTGTTTGGAGCCAGGGATAGAGACTCCACAGAGCTGCAGTACAGCACCAAACGAAACCACACAGGAGTGAGACTTGAGCTGGCTTCAGGCCACATACACATCAAAGACTAGTACAAGACCATGTCCAGAAGCTGAGCTTGGAGGGGAACACACCAATACTGCCCGCTTTGGCCCTGGACAAGGAGTCAGCAAGGCTGGGATTAGACTGGTTATTTAGAAGCAGGAATGTGGGCAGCAGGAACAGGAGCCTGGCTGATATACTCAGCATCTAATGAGATCCTGCGAGACTGAAAAGCGTTCAGGCGGCTGGCTGCTGCTGTCTGCCTCATGGGATTTGGGAGGAGTAGCTGTAAATTTAGATATTTTTGGAGTAAGGAATCAATTTAATGAAGCAGGATTCCTACAGTTTATTGACTGTCAAGAGCATATATTTGCAAAGCAGTATTTCATCAACTCCTATTTTATCATTTAAAAAAACTAGAGCTTTGAGCATGGTAGACATTCATAAATATTTGGAGCACTGCTTGCCTATGAATTTATATCCCATTTACAAATTACTTAATTATTGTATTCCTATCCCTATAATACAAGTAATTCCACTTTAATGTTATAAAATGCTCTGTAATGTGTAACATACTTTAAATACTATGATATTCTAATGCAGATATTTAGGTCTGAATATCTAAAAGGGAACAATATTCTAAAAAAATGCTTTACTGATAGACTTCATGCTAAAATGTACTAGTTTATAGCAGTAAACATTTGTATTAGTATTTTATGGTATATAATATATTGATCTATGAAATACCACTACTTGGATAGCTACAGATAATTTAAAAACAATATGTTAGCCTAAATGTAAAACTCACAGAAAAATCACGAAAGCTCAAAGGTACAATTTACTTCATAAGCAGACAAAACTTCTGTAGAATTTTCTGAATTCTGGAATTTACTGAAGACTTGTTATAAAATTTAATTGTATAATATTCAGTTTATATAGGACACCTCACTTTTAGAGAACAGATTTAATTATGTCTGTCCTTTCCTAAATAGAAGGTAGGAATCCTTTTTAACTACATCTGTATTGCCGATGATGGCTGGTTCTTATAAATTATTTATGTTGAAATCATGTTATTTTTCATTGTGCATTAACAGTGAATTCATGACTGGCTGATCAGCTATTAAGAAGAAATCAGAAAATCAGTACCTGGGTCTTTGACATGGGGGAAAATTTTTTTCAGAATCCCTTCAGGGATTTTGCAGAATGGCACTTTTCACCACTTCTTTTGAGTTCCTTGTTATTTTATCCACTATTAATTATTCCTTTTGAGCTGAAAAAAAAAAAAAGCTATTCTACAGTGATGTTTTTTCAAGAAGTTGTTTATGTAACACATGCATTTTTGGATTAACAAATCTGCTTTCTGTCTTTTCTCTCTGCGTAGCTTCACTGTTGGATCAGATTACTTCTTCACCTGTAAGGTGTCTTGTTTGGATGAATCCCCCAGGCTTAAATGCTGCTTTGAAACCAAGTATTTCTAGCTTAATGCAGATTTGTTCACCCAAGGGACACATACTCACCACAGCAGTTCTAGGCTGTCATCTAGACCTCCCAGGAATCTTAACCATCTTTCTTGTTCTTCTGGCATTTGTAATAATACTAAGAAACAACAGACCTGCGCTAATGGAAAGGAGAAACACATCAGATAAGATTTGCATATCTTCTCATATCTGGAATTTTGCAACCATCATCAAGCTGCATCAAGTAATTCCAGAGTATCTGGGGAAGAAGGGGCTCAGGCAGCCAGGTGAACTTGGGAGATGTTACCCTTACAGACCTAAACCCAAGCCAAACAACCTGATGCTATGTATACTCTCAGCATTTCATACCCAGACACCACTGGAGAAAACAGAAAGGAAAACCAGCATGAAACTTTCAAAATGAATATACTGGGTAATTTTTGTTCCATGTGCTCTAGGACACTCCACTTTGTCAGGTACAAGCTGCCCAGACTGCTTCTGATGTTCAGCTTCCTTTTCTTCACTTTAGGTGCTGAAAATATTACTAGAGAATTTACGTTCATTCAGTAAATGCACACATTTATATTTGAGATCATCCTCTAGGCCTTGTATTGTCAGTAGACAGAAAGAGGTATTTCTAGGATGCAAGTCCTCCCGTCTTCAAGCAGACAACTGAAACAGCCCAGGTGAATTACACAGTACAAGGGCTTATCTTTCTACACTATTAAGGCAACCCAGTAGAGAGATTCAAGTTGAGAACATCTGAAGTGAGGTGGAATTAATTCCACCCCTTATTTTTAAAGGCTTTGGTTCCTTCACTTAGCGAATTCCACAACTCTCACCAAACTTCTTCTCCTTTGCTCTTCTCCCATCCTTTGCAACTTCCTTTTATTTTTCTGCCTAGTTTCTGCCCTTCATCCTTTTTCAGATGAGGTAGCAATACCAGAGAGTTCTTAAGAATGCCAGGCCTGCTTATTGCAATGGGAGACATAGAAAGATGAAAAGTAAAAGCATCAAAATAAAGCAACAAAACAGAATGACAAGCAAAAAAGCCAAAACAGTTTTATCAGTACTATCACCTTTTAAATACTGTTATATTTTATAAGAAAACAGCCTAAATTAGGCTGCAGATATTATTTGAAATGCATAGAGATTATAAGATTAAATGATGCAGAAGCAGTCTACTCTTCTGCAGAACACTAAAATGCTATATTTATAACTGGGACTCAGCATGGCTTTCTAGAAAAAGATCTAATAAGCAACAGAGGATATAGTCAACTTCCAATTCCCCAGGTATGAATGCTTTCTTTCCCCATGCGAATCTGTCATGCAAACTACAGAGAATAATTTGGATTTGCCTTCTTCATGAACACTTTCAAATTAATCAGACATGTGAGCATTGTGTATGTCAGACATGTTGTGCTACTGTTCTGGTAGTTTTAAACTAATGGTATTACATTGCATTTTTCCTTATGAAAAATTTAGCCAAGAGGTTTTTTGCAGCTTTTCAATCTCATATCCTTGAACATCAAATGTCAACAAGGCTCTTATGTAAACATCATAGAATCACAGAATGGCTGAGACTGGAAGGCACCTCTGACAATCATCTAGTCCAAATCCCTGCTCAAAGCAGGAACAGCTAGAGCAGGTTACTGAGGCCTGTACTGAATTGGGTTTGAATATCTCCAAGGCTTCAAACTGGCATCCTATGCCAGTGTTTGATCACTCTCAGAGTGAAGTAGTTTTTTCATATGTTTAAATGAAATTTACTAAATTTTAATTTGTATCCATTGCCCTTTGTCTTTTCACTGGGCACCACTGAGAAGAGTCTGGCTCTGTCTTCTTTACTACCTCCTGAGCAGGTGTTCATAAATATTGATAAAATTTCCCTGAGCCTTCTCTTCTCAAGACTAAATAGTCCCGGCTCTCTCAGCCTCTCCTCATATGAGAAATACCCCACTTCCTTAACCAGAACAGCTCTTTTCCAGACATGATATGTATGTCCATGTCTTACTGGAGATCCCAGGACTGGACTCAGCACTCTAGACATATCTCACCAGAGTGGACCGGAGAGGAAGGAACACCTCCCTCGACCTGTGCAACCCAGGAGGCTGTTGGCTTTCTTTGCTGCAAGGGCACATTGCTGTCTCATGGTCAACTTGGTATTGACCCCCAAGTCCTTTTCTGCCAAGCTGTTTTGTAGCCTATCACTCCCCAGGTTGTCCTGGTGCCTGGAGTTGTTCCTCCTCAGAGGCAGGACTTTAAATCTCCCTTGGTTGAATTCCATGAGGTTCCTGTCAACCCATTTACCCAGCCTCTCAAGGCAGTTCAAATGTCTTGTATACCCCAGTGTTGGATCAAGTTTTGAAAACTCACTGAGAATGCATGCTGTCCTACCACGCAGGTCATTAATGAAGATGTTAAACAGTATTGGCCCCAGTGTTGACCCCTGGGGTACACTACCAGTAACCGACCTCCAGATGGACTTCTTGCTGCTGATCACAACCCTCTGGGCCCAGTTATACTGCCAGTTTTCAGTCCACCTCACCATTTAATCATCAGTTTGTCTATGAGGATGTTATGGGGTACAGTGTTGAAAGTGTGCTTTCAACATAAGCAAAAATAAACATCCACTGCTGTCCCTTCCTCCTCCACGCCAGTCATTTCATTGTAGAAGGCTACTGGTAGGGTGAGGTACAATCTGCCCTTTGTAAATCCATGCTGACTACTTCCAGTCACCTTTTTGTCTTGCATGTGTTTGGAAGCGGTTCCCAGGACAAGTTGTTCCATCAGCTTCTTTAGGGATCAAGGTGAGGCTGACCAGCCTATAGTTCCCTGCATATTCCTCCTTGCCCTTCCTGAAGGGTGACATTTGCTTTCTTCCAGTCCTCTGTAACCTCCCCTAATTGCCAACATCCTTCAGAGACAATTGAGAGTGGCCTCGCAATGACATTAGCTTCTCCCTCAGCACTCATAGCTGCCTCTGTCAGCCATGGACTTCTGCGTGTGTGGTTGGTTTGAATGTTCCCTAACCTGATCCTCCCCCACCAAGGTAAGTCTTCCTTGTTCCAAATTTTCACCCTGTTTTCAGGGACCTACAATTCCAGAAGGTAAATCTTATCTGTGAAATTGAGGCAGAGGCGGCATTGCGTATCTTGGCCATTTTTGTGTAATTTGTTACAGTTGCCTGGTTCCATTCAACATAGGGCCGTTGCTGCAGAGACACTTGTAGAAACCCTTCTGGTGGCCTTTCATGTCCCTTAACCAATTCAAGTCCTGGTAGGCTTTGTCTTTTCTAATGCTATTCCTGCATGCCCAGACAGCATCTCTATATTCCTCACAGGTCACCTGTCCCTATTCCCACCTCTTGTGATGCTTCCTTTACATGAGAGTGTTTTATCAGGATCTCATTGTCTGTCTGTGAAGACCTCCTGCCACTTCTGTTTGGCTTTCTGCAAATCAGTATGGACTGTTCTTGAGCTTGGAGGAGGTGGTCCTTGAAAAATTAGTAAACTCGCCTGGAACTCTCTTCTCCTCAGGTCCATCTCCTATCGGATTCCTCTAAGAAGGTCCCTAGACAGGCCTTTTCCCAGGAAAAGTGTGAGAGTTTCCCTTATAATGTTGTCCTCTTAGCACTTCCTTATTTGAGTGTATATGCTTTAGGTCCCCTTCAGTCCTGCACTGCTGGTTTCAAGGTCTCTCCTGTTCATGCTACATCTTTTTCTTGTCAGCCCAGCCCAGCCCCTCACTTGATTATGGGTTTCCATTTCCTTCCTCCATCTTTCCAATTTTCCTATCTTTTTACCAAGTAGGCCAGCCTGTTGTCAAAGATGTTTCTGGCCTGCCTAGTCAGGTGGGATCCCACCTCTTCCCCAACAATCTTTAATTCTCACAAAGGACCCATGGTCATAAAAAAATAATCCCTGTCATTGACACGAGCTGCACAGTACTTGTTGATCCAAAGGATTCACTCACTCCTTGTAAAGTCCTTTGCCCTAACCAGTAGGATCAAAGACAAAACCATTTGGCCCTCATGCTCTCACCCTCAGTCATGTAGACATGCTCAATACACCCCATGTCTCCCCTGGTATCAGCATTGGTGTCCACCTGGAAGAGCAGCAGAGGTCAATATTCTGAGGACTGGACAAGCCACATCAGTGTCTCCACAATGTCACTAAGCCTCTAGCAAGTAGAAAACCTCCCTAGACAGCAGTTCAGCTTGGTAGATGGGGGCTTTGAGCAATATTAATATCCAGAATGGTCTTCTGATCAAAAGTTTGCTTTAGCTATTGCAATAAACAGGATTTGAGCATATTAGAACCCCATCAGTACAAACTCTTCCAGACACCCTCTGGAACAGAATTGGTGTCAGTCCCTGACAGACTGTCCTGAGAATCCATATCTGGGAACATGCAGACATAATGCAAGGTAGTGCAGCCATTGACCCAAACTCAAAGATCTTCAGCTAAAATATCCTTCCCTTTCCTTTTTTCTCCTCTAAGCTCTAGCCCCAAGTCAAAGCTACAGAGAAAGCAGTACAGGAGCAAAGAGAGAAAATGAGTGTTACAAAAAAAAAATTAAATATGCACCCTTTCTTACAAATTTACTTAATACAGCTTGTTCATATCCCTATGTTGACATTCTTCAGACAGCTTCTGCCATGCAGCTGATCAGCCTTTGCACACCATCCACTTAAAGTGCTGTGTTTTGAACTGTAATTTTGAGGCACCCTTAATTTTTTTGCTGACTGAACTAGATGCAATTCTTTCCACCCGTATTCTGCACTGCTACGTGGTGCTAAGGCACCTACCTTCAGAAAAAAAAAAAGAGTATTGTTTATGTTGCTGAAGAAAACAAAGATTTAGAAAAATGTATTGAGAAAAACAAGTAGTGTCTGTGTCTGTGACTGTGTTCCTTGAAGGTTCATCATCTTCTGAGAAATCAGACTGCAAGAGGTGGAGGACCTAGCACTCCTGTGCCAGGTCATACTCTGACTAGAGCTGCTGAGAACATTATTTTAAAGGTCAAGGTCATAGATTAAATTGTTAATTGTCAATTCATTGAATATAAATTGCTCATCTAAGAGAGTTAGTCCTAGCAAATGTTTCAACTCAAGACATATAAGGGACAAAAGTGCTTAAATTGTCAGAGTTTCTCTATGATATTTTTAAATTATAAAATGCAAGATTTGGCTTTATTATGATTTTAATTGCAAACACTGGAATTAATGCTAGTAAACTTACAGTGAAATAGTAAAAGTAAAACTAAATAATTAAAGATGGTCTAAATGGAATGTTCGTAATTGCTCCATCTCTGATTTTTTTTTAGGGAGGAAAAAGGAGGGAAGGATTGCAATCCACAAGAATGGGTTATTGTCTTTTCCTCCCTATTTGGGATGCCAATTTTTCATACTCCAAACCATTTCCTGCTTAGGTCTGGGTGCTACTGTGAGCATTTTTAGCAGTAACAGAGACTTCTGGCAGTGGCTAGTATACTCTCTTACCATGAAAAAACAAAAATCAAACCAAACTCCAAAGCATTAAACCTGTGAAGATCAAAGAACCAGGAGTAGTTTAAGCTTTATCCTTTCATGTGTAAGGTATTGGGCACCCTTTAGGCAATATATTATTTACATCCTTATGAGACCAAAGCAAACCCCTTGACTATAACTATCAATTTTCTTGGCATGTTATTTTATCAAGTCAAATGACCAATAATACCAGAAAGAAAAATCCCTCTGGACATAATTTTGCTGTTGTGTTAGAGCTAGATACATTAGGAACAATTGCAGGCACTACAAGAGGTACATATCTATTTTACTGAATATCTTTTTTTTTTTTAATTACTTAACTAATTTATATACATTATAAAAAGATGTTCTAATGTAATGATTTAATAATTCATCAGTTTCCTCATACAGCTTCTTTAAAGTCTATTCTACAGTGACATTTCAGTTAGCACTGTTGCTTTTTTTCCTCAAAATTTCACAGTAAGTGCAATATTTAAAAAAACCCCAAACTTCAGTGAGTTCTAGCCCCCAGCAATGACCCTAAAAAACACCAAGTGCACTGTACTTGAGATTTTACCTTCTGTACTACCTCTAAAGTACTTGTATATACATTTGTTCATTGATTTCAAAACATCTGAATCATTTACTTTTTTGCCCCTATTTTCTTTATCTCTCCCCTAAGTTCATGTTTTTTTGATTTTGTTTTTTTTCTTTCTTTCTTTTTGGTTTATACTTTCTATATCTATGAGCAATCCCTCTAATGTAAGACAAGAGTCATGATTTAGTCTGTGGACAGTTAAAAATATTGAGAAATGAAAGATGTTAAAGATTTATTGTATCAAAAAATATATAATCTCATTTCAGCATTTCATTTTTTTTCAAACAATGTAACTTTTATTTGCCTTTTATTACAGTATGTCAATTGTTATACATGCTGTATTTCTTTAGTTGCTGCTATCCCTTCCTGCAAATGTGTTCCCCGAGGGAAAATTTGCTCTCTTTTCACAAAAGCAGAAGCAAGTGCAAACCAGAAATCCGGGAGAGGTGTTCACTCAGCTCTGCAGGGGGATTTGCATGATTTGTCATGTGATAGTTCAGCAGAACTTTCTGTGCTGCCTGTGGTACTGTTTATAAACTATGACTTGTTTGTGGAATGATGTACTTTCCTTTATAAAACAAGTAACTCCTCAAAAAGTAACCAGTACATGAAAAAACTAATCAGCTTTGTGCTGTATCATTCTAGTCATGTAACTTGGAATAATCATTCAGTAAGAGTTGAAATGATTGCTTTCAGCCATGTTGAAATAATTGTTTTTAGCCATAAGAAAGCAATCCACACTTTTAAAAGGAATACTCTGGATTCTCTGTTTTCATCGTGTACTGACTAGCCTAGTACTTCCGCACAGGGTTTCACTGGGGTTTGAAACTGTACCAAGGAAAAGGCATCTCTTTGTGGTACTTGGGGTTTTTACTCTGTAAATAGTTCAGTGAGTGTTCTCATTTTCAGTGACTAATGATAACTTCCATGGTGATTGTAGCTCAGCCAGCTACCAAAGACAGGAGCAGACAAGGAGCACTCATATCATCCATTGCTGTAACTCAGTGCTCACATGAGGAGCATTGCCAAGAGATTTCAGGAGAGGGTGACATTAGGCAACTGGCACTTTGGAAAACCGTCAGGGGTGAGTTAATCTGAAATCAGCTATGATCAGAAAAGAATGTATATTCATAGCTTTTCATACATTGCAGGTTTGCAGTGTTGAGTGTGATGTGAATCCTGTAAAACTGAGCCTTTAGTAGGTGCCAAGCCTGGCCTAGTAGTCTGAAGGGGTGTCTAGGTGTTCAGGTAATCAGATACATGTTCATACAAAGGATTTTTGCATTTTTCTATTAGTACAAAAAAGACTGAAAAGAGCTTAAATGTTCAAGGAATCGCCTGCCACAGTGGAGTTCTTGATCCAAAGTAAGCATACCAAGCTCCATGACCAACACATTTTCCTAAGCTAAGGCACTGTTGCTTTTAGCTTAGCTGTAGCCTGAATGCAGCTCAACCACATTGGATGCATACTGTGCTTAGCAAGACTGAGCCTGGATCTGAATACCAAACTCACTTGTTGCAACAGGCTGTTAGAGAAATACTGGTTTAGTCTCCTGTAACATCACCAGTGCTTGACCTTCAGACCCCTCCACATACAAACTCAGGGCTGTGCTCCGTCCTTGAGTGCCGCCCAGGCCCCTGCCTGGAGACAGCACTTGCCTGAGCCCCCCTCCGCAGCCAACATATAAATCAGTGGGAAGGACCCAAAAGTGAGCATTGCTGATAAGGCCTATGCACCCAAGGGAGAGGTTAGATTCCCTGCTGTGGTACAGCTCCGTGAGTAAGACACTCAACTAGCATGTGAGGGACCCAGTTCAAACTTTTCTTCCCCTGGTTTGGAGCAGCAATTTGACCTCAAGTCACAGTCCCCGGGAGACAAACCCCAGTTACTATGCCATAGAGCAGTTCTCCTAGTGCCAAGTTCTTTCAGCGTGGAGAAAATGGTGTGTCTCTGGGCTTTCAGTGACCACACCTGCACATTTCTTACAAATGTGTTCTAAGTCTTTTAAAAAAGCTACAAGATGTAATATTTTTTAAAAAATAACACGTTTATGAGGAAAATATACCTGTGTCAATATCTAATGCATTCTCAGGTGATTTGATTCTCATTATTCAAACAATGGTGTTAGTTTGATGTTTTGTGCAATCCCATGACAGTACTTCAATGATCCAGATAGGCTGAAACAAATAGTTCTGAGTATGCTCATGGGAAACACACAGGAAACAAACAAAAAAAAAAATGTATGGGCCATTAAAACTCAAGTCTAACTGAAGTTTCTTTATATCATTTTCATGACTGTACAAATGTCAGGATAAGTTGAACTGTTTTGACAGCAAAACAACCCAAATTAGAAAGCTTGCATGTGCATACAGTTCAGGTATTGTAAGAAATAAGCTGGTCTTTTCCTTTTTCCATACATGTGTGATGGCAGGTGCCACGTGGAAGCAGGAGTGATGTCCTTATGTCCTCTTCCTTGTCCCTTTCTACTTAGCTGTTGACAAAAACTGCTTCTTATTGAAAAATGTTTCCATAACTGTTCTTCAAAAACTCCTTAAAAGCCCTAGTATAAGGACTTTGGTTTTATTTGGTCTCATGAGAAGGGGTTAACTTACTTGACTAATGCAAAACCCCTAAAAGACATCTCTGAATTTGGGATGAAAAGGCATTTCCCTCCAGCCTAGAGGCACATTTCCAGCTTAGACGTGCTTAGATCTGTGCCCACTTCTTGGCACAGCTGTTGACTGGCTTGTCCTCTCTACTCCACACTGCTGGCTTCTGCACATCCCATTTCTTCTGTACTCCTTCATAGGGGTCACTGGGTGCCACCTCAGGTGGTAGGTCTCAGAAAGACAAGCAAGGTGAGCCACTGCCTTGTGAATAATTTCTTTACAGTTGATTGCTACTTTAGCTGATTGAATAAAGAGAACACCTGCAATAGCAATATAATTCGTGTTGCAATAAAAGCAATTGACTGCTAATTTTCACCAGATGCCTTCTGTACATCACTGTCCTCTTCATATTCCCTAGCACTGAACACCTCGGATAAATAAGACATTAGTACCTAGTACAATTTTAAAATCTGAGGGTTGCAAGGGGGGTACAGTTACTTTAGTTTTAGAATCATATAGCATCTCCATCCCTGTTTCTCCCTAATTCTTATCACTTGGATTCTGCTGTGCAACCTTTTTCCGGGATCCTTCTTTTTCTTCTTTACATTTTTTAAAATTGCATGATATAAAAAAGCCACCTTCTGAAATTCACTGTGCTGGGGAATAGGGCATTCTTAAGTTCTTTCCATAAACTTCTGTCTTGCAGATGGGATTTCTTTGCCACAAACACATCCACTTTTGGGGGCTGAGATTTTACTGCCAAACACGAACAAAATTAGTGTGGCACCATGCAGTGCAGAATAGGAACCTTTGTATTTTGCTTGTTCTTAACATAGATTGTGTTGCAGATACTAGGCAGATCCACCATTTTTCTTCTTGCTTTGCTTTCTGTTGTCACTTTCATTATTTAAGTAGCTACATTTATACAGCAGACTGCTTTAGACAAGCAAATGGAAGAACCTGGTAAATTCTGAAGAATACCCATTAAATATTACGCAATATATCCTCAGCAAACTGCTCTTATGCCATCACACCATGTGTCTGACCATCCCACCTAATCATACTTGAAATCATTGGATCATTCCAGCCAAGGGAAGCCAGAAGTCTCAAAGACATTTCTCTAAGTTCAGTGTAGATCACAGATCTCTTCTCCAAGTATGCTCCGTGCTATTACTCAAGACTATGAGTATGGGGGAGAAACCCTATAACCAGTTTTAGGGAAGGCTTTGCTTGGAGCTCACAATCAGGCATTTGTCAGAAAACAGGACTCTGGTAGGCAAGTATGGCAAGTTAAAATGGGAGGGTTGAAGCTGTTGCTGCCTTGTCTGCCCATCCCGGCCAAGGCAGGAATGGTCGAAACTCTGATCAATGAAGGTTTGAACCACCACGGTGCTCAGCTTGGTCAGCGAATGCTGACTGTGGTTTTATGGTACCTGTAGCCTGTGTGAACAGGATTTACCTGTCCCAGTAACTTCTATTTCTGGTCAGATGCCCTCAGAAACCCCCCGAGTTCGGGTTTAAGGCAGCACCCAAGTGGTCGGGGAAGCATCACACCCTGACTCGCGGGCTGGTCCGCCGGGGCGGAGGCGCTGCAGTTGCCCGGGAGGGGCGGCAGCTGCTGGCGGAACGGCGGGCGGGTGCCCCGCCGTGTGGGCACCTTCCCCCCGGGCGGGGCCGGGGCCGGGGCCAGGGCCGGGGCCGGGGCCGGGGCCGGTACGTGCGCGGCCACACGTCCCGGAGGTGGCTCCGGACACGCGGCCCGAGGGTGGCACCGGGGCGGCTCCGCGCGCGCCGCCGCTCGGGCCCAACCGTCCTCGGCCAACGGGCGGCGCGAGGGCGCGCGCGTTGCCACGAGACGCGGGGCGCGCGGGGGAGGGGGTTACGTGGTGACGTTAATTCTATATGAGCGCGAGCGGCGGGAGCGCGGGTCCTTTCACCGCCGGCCGCGCGGCGCCTCCGCCTCGCTGCTCCTGAGTCACCGGGCCCGCGGGCCGCGCAGGTACCGCGGGGCGCTCCTGCCGCCGCCGCCCTGGGCCGGGAGTGCGGGGGGCTACCGGGGGGGCGCTGGGCCCTCGCTCCCGCGGGGGGGAGCCCGCGGGGGCCGGCCCGGCCTAGCGGGGCCCCGCGGCTGGCGGGGCGCGGGGGGCCGGCGGTGCCCGCGCCGCACCGAGCTCCCCCCGTGCGGCCCGCGGGGCGGCGGCGCCGCTGCTCGGCCAGGCCCGCGGCGCGGAGCGCTGCCCGCCGCCTCCCGCGCGCCCCTCCGCCGCGCCCGCGGAGCGCTGGGGCCGGGCCGGGCCGGGCCGGGCTGGGGCGTGCGGCTTGGCCGGGCCGGGGGGAGGCGGGTCGGCCCCGCAACACGTGGGCGCTGAGCGGAGCCCTGCCCGGCGCGGCCGGGGAGCTGCAGGGCTGCGGGGCCGGAAAGCGGCGCGGGGAGGAGGAGCGGATGAGCGTGTCCGACCGGGCGCGGGGATCTCGCGGCCGGGCCGGTGGGGAGCCCGGGCCGTGTGCGCGCACATGGCGGAGCGGGGGACGGCGGCGATGGCTGTGAGTCGTGGCCCCTTGTGCCCCCTCCCGCGCCTTGTTCCTGCTCCCGTGGAGAGCCGCGGCTCGGGTGTGCTGTGCTGTGCTGCTGGCAGGGGGACCCAGAGATTCAGGCAGAGGACGAGCAAGTCCCGTTTCCTGCCTCAGGGTAGAGCGGTGTTCGGGAGTTCAACATGTCGCTTCTCCGGGTGTCTGCTAGCTAGTATCATCCAATATGAGCCTGTCACCAAAGAAAGCAAAGAAGCTACCTGGAAGGTTTAGTAACTAAAAGTGGAAGTAATGTCTTGTGTTCAGCATTCATAAATATCTACCTACATATAAAACTCTTATCTACTCCCTGTTAAATGATGAGGGGACTTACACTGCCAATACTTGTGAGGCTTTCAATAATTAATAAAAACTTTCCTCATTCACTTGCAGAAGAAAACACAAAACTTTTTAAAATGACTGATAGAGTAATAACACGGCACCTTCCACCATTCATCTCCAAGCATACTGCAGATTTGTGTACGTGTCCGTTTGTGTTTGAGGCCCTATTGAGATACACCTCTGTTTCACATTCTAACTCATTTGAGGAGGGTAGGAGAAGTGGGCACCGTGTGTGCAAGGTAGGACAAATACTCTGCTGCTCAGCCCCTCTTGGGATTTTAACATCTGCTGGTAGATGTTACATTAATCTGGCAGGAGATAATGCCTGATAATTTGAATTACAATCATGAAATGAAACGTAAGAGCTAAGGCCTAAGGCTGTGAACTGCTGTAGGTAGTTTCTGACAAAAATGTTAGTAGCTTGTTAGTAGCCTTCCTGCTGTGCCCCTTTTACAATGGTACTCTTTAAAGAATGAGAAAAGCACTGTACTTGGATTGAAGCAAGCTAAATGGCTTCCAGTCCCTCGTAAATACAGAAATGATATTAATCCATAGAGCAAAATAAGAATTTAAAATCTGTATCCATGGAAATTTGAGTGACTTGGATGCCTCTGTACCAGACAAAAGTTTAGGCCACTCAGGCTTCAGGTACCTGAAACGTTGTTTTAAGTGCTTATAATAAGCCATTGATACCTGATCTTACATTTATGTGGCCCACTTAGTCCTGTGGGAGGGATATATATCAGCAGTCTCCTTGCCCTCCACTTTTTCTCTGTTTTGTGACAGGTCTTGCATATCATGTGCTCTGGTTTCTGAGGACAGAGGATTGTAGAATGATGGTCCTGTGCACAGGTGGTAGATTGGTGTTTTTCAGAGCCTCTGGTCCTTTTCTGACTTGCACAGGACTAGGAAGTAAGTGTTGGGATGGCTGGAAGCACACAGAAGCACCATGCTGCATCTGTGCTGCCAGCCCAGTGTCGCAAGAAGTGCCCAAAGTGCCAGATCTGCAGCACTGTCTTTGTGTACAGCAGAGTAATGCTCCTGCCACCCTTGTGTGTCATCTAGCCCCTGCCTCACAAACTATTTCTGGAAGGAGGTGGGGTACTAATTATGGTGACCTGCTTACTGAGCATCCTGGAAATGGGTGGTCTGGTTTTCTCTTGGCTTCTTGTGTAATTGACAGTGAGTATGGGCACACAAGTGAGAATGAAACCATGTGCATGGATGTCATGAAGCTTTAACAGAGTTTTCACAACCCTGAGTGAGACCTGAGTCTTCATTTTCTCCAGTACATAACTCCAGATCTTCAAGAAAACTTTGGCTTACCCTGTACATTTGGTAAAAAGGTGTTGATTCACTAAGGTAGAAGTTGAAGCAATTGTAACACAGCTTATCCTGTTGTGGCAGAGATTGTATTCTTTCAGGGAATAATATAGCTTGAGGATATTAGTTTCAATAGAGAAAAATCTCAGGGGGAATAAATTAAGAATCTTTTATTTTTAATTTTGGTTCAATCCTTTGGTGAAAGCCAGTTTATTCCAGTAGACCAGGGGGTATAATGGACATGTGTGTGGTATCTTAACCTTTTTGTTAATGTAGTTGTAACCCAGTTCACATTAAGGTTCTTGTGAAACAGCTGCAAACATGGTGTATCTCAAACTAAGGATCTGGTTCTTGCTTCTTTGAAGAAATTTCAGGAATTAGGTTGCAGAAAATGGAGATGCAGGTGTTCTTTCAATGCCTGTTTGCTTTTCTGCATTGGTATATACATTCAGTGGAACTTCAGCTCTGTGTTTTTCCATGAATTGATACTGCTTTGATATTTGTGTGGTACTAGCAGGCACTTGCACAGAAGACAGTACTTTGCAGACAGAAACAAGACTTCTTAATGCTGGTTTTATTTTACTAGAGCTGAGGAATCTTCTGAGTTAGCATCTGGTCTGGGCAACTGCAATCCACCTTCTCGTTAGGGAAGCAGTTAGTAAATAATAGAGTAGAACTGCATAGGAAGGGTTGTGATGATAGTTTTAATGCTTAGGTCAGTTTTCATTTGTAAATTACTTAGGGCTCAAAAGTGATTATAATTAAAGCTAATTCAATATAGCTGATTCTCACTCAGCTCAGGGTTAGTGCATTTCCTCATCACCTAACATTGTTAATCTGGAGAGTAGGTCTGGTGTCAATGTGTTTGTCTAGAAAACCAGACATGTCTGAAAGGCATCAAAGAAGTTGCTTGGGGATTCATTTGATGACCTTCTGAAAAATTAAGCTATTTAGAAGCACTGTGTGAGGGTTTTGAGGACTTCTTACACTAAATGATTCTATGATTTTGTGATTCAACAAAGTTGATGCAAAGGAAAAAAAATCTAATACTGATATGGTATTTAGCCATAACTTTGACCTTAAGTTTTCAGGAAGACTACACATATTGAAGACTAAAACTTCAGTTGACTCAAAAAAAAAAAGGAACATTTTGATAACTTACCTTTGATACTCTATGTTTAGTTTAAAAATGTAAATAATTTCAGATATGAAGTAACTTATGTTCTTCCTAAAGATTATTCTTTTAAATGAACTTACATCATCTGCTTGAATGAAAACATCATCTACATCTTAACTACTTGTCACAGGTTAAACTGGAGATCTCCCTAAATGGAAAACTGTTCAGATTTTAGTGCAGGAGAATACAAATGCATTTGGGAGCTGAATGTGTGCTTAAATGTAAATCTGCACAGACATGATTTACAATGGCGATGTCTAATTTTAAAGCTTAACTTGCCATAATAAATAGACAGTTTTACGTCAGCTATTTCACCTGGTCTTTGAGGACTTTAGAACAAAATACTAGCAGTTTATCCTTAGTAGCTTTTTATGATCAGAAGGTGAAAGCAAATTTTTAGATGTGAAAACTGGTTTTTGGAGGTACCTGTAGCCTTGAAGCATTCGATTGCTTGATTTTACATTTACATTTATTCTTTAAAAAAATAGCACTACCACCACCCAAATAACAACCAGACAATGAAGAAACCTCCACCCAAAGCATGAGAGATATTAGAAGTGTTGAAAATTCTGTTTAAGAGATTTAACTAAGTGGGTGCCTGAAATCTGGAATGGACAAACACCTAAACTTCTAAGACCCAGGTTAGAATCAAAAATGCTTGTTATCTTTTCTGACCATCTGCACTAAGGTTAGTTCAGTCCACTACTTTATTTAGGTGTTGTTTAATATGTGATGCTTAAAGGAAGGCAGTTCTTTCACATTGCTTGTGGAATGACTTGCCCGTGAAGGGAGAATGTCATTCTAGGTCTGACCCTAGTTAAAAACTTTACTTAAGCATTAAAAGATCAAGTTGAGGAACACAGGGAGGAGACATGAAATAAAACAATTAACTGTTTACATGGAAAACAATTTTGAATCAGTTCTTTTTGAACTTCTTGTTAATGTAGGTATTTTTGTGTCATTTCTTGTTGTTCACCTCTCATACTATTAGTATAAGACATAAACTGCTTATGTTCCTCAGGTATTCATGTTGCTAGGCCCTGAACTGAGCTATTTCCTCTCTTCCGAAACCTGAACAGTGAATACAGTGTTTTTATTAAGGATACATTACCGAAGTGTATAATGATCATATTTTGCATTGTGTGTTTTAGTCACCATGCATTCATTTCAGATCTTGCTACTTCTGCATGTTGAGTAAAAATCTTTAGTGGGCTGCATGCAATTATATGTCTTTGCGCAGAATTTTTTCGACCTTTTGAATTCTAAGTTAGTTGGAATTGCATCTT